ATAAAAAATTGAATATTTACATACATGTTGTGTTGTGAGTTAATTTTGTGAGTTTGCTTGCAAGCAAATTTTATGTGACAGACTGAGCCAGCCAATGGCAGATAGATAGATCTTTGAATGAATCTGTGATTCTGTGAGCAACTCAATCTGCTTTGCCTGATTTTGGGTAAAAATTGCTCTTTTTTATAAAAAAAATCAATATTTATATAAATATTTATAATATTTATATACAAGCCAGGCCCAGCCAGTCACATGACCACCAAGCCACACCCACAAATTAGGCCACACCCACAGAACCAGTTAGTGGTCCCTGGGATCTAAAATTATGAGTTTGGTGGTCCCTGAGGTCCAAAAGGTTGTCGACCCCTGCTCTAAGGCAATGTTGTTTTTTGCTAGAAAAGGCAGAAAGAAAACCCATGTTAGCTTATGAAAATATTTGGCTGGTACAGAAGTGCAAAAGTCTTCTGCAGTGATCTGTTAAGGAAAATTCTAACCTTCTACAGGGCCTCTTAAGCTAACATCCTACAGATAGTCCTTGGCTTAAAACCATTCAAGTTGGTTGTAAAGTTACAACAGCACTTTAAAAAATTATTTATGAGCGGTTAGGACTATAGCAGCACCCCCCCACAGTCATGTGATCAACTTTCGGGCACTTGGCAAATGGCATGTTTTACAACTGTTGCAGTATCCCAAAGTCACGTGATCACCATTTGCAACCTTCCCAGCCAGCTTTTGGCAAGCAAAATTAATGGGGGAAGCCGCATTTGCTTATAACTCACATGATTCACTTAACTATGGCAAAAAAGGTCATAAACTTGGGTGTGACTCACCTAGCCACCACCCTGCTTAGCAACAGAAATTATGGTCCCAATTGTGGTCATAACTCAAGGACTAGCTGTGCCTGTTTTTTATCAGTCAGCATTTGACTGACATGGGAAATGGCAATTACAATTACGCTCCTCCCTTTCCCGAGCAGATCTGTGCTTGGTCGTCTTCTCCATTTTAAACACAAGCTTTTTCTAAGGAAAATTTAAACATAATGTACTAAAATAAAATGCAAATATATAAATTCTTAAATAAATACATTATGCAGTTACCAAGAAAATTAAATTAAAATTTAAAAGACAACCTGCTTCAATCATTAGAAAACAGGTAAACTAGAACATGCAATTATGATTCAATGCACATACCATGGATGTGTCACCTGGTACTGCTGCCAAAGTAAAACCCTACCCTGCTTATAGGCAGGCTTCTAATCACAAGATTTATTCCTTGTACACACCAGTCTATTTTTTTAATAGTTGGGCATACAAATAAAACCTCTAATCGTGTTTTCAGCACTGGGGCAAGTAAGTTGAGGTGAATGCAATCCTCTGACTAATACAATTGTTTTAAGGTTTTAAAGGGAGTATTATTAATACAAGCATAGCATGTTCCAACTTGTGAAGTCTGCACAATCATTTCAGTTTAGGATTAAATGATGTACTTGTTGAAATGTGTAATTGCCCCTACAGATATCATCACCCTAGGACTTTCAAAACAAGCCAACATTCAGGAAGACAGCTCAGGCCACAGTCATGGCAAGATTCATGATGACCTGTCTCTAACTCTCATATGTTACAGAGTCTGATTCATAACTTTACATGCTAGTAATGCTGAAGCAGTTGATACATGAAAAAGTAAATCTAAATATTTACACTAGCCTCAGGTTAAAAGTAAATAAAATTTGCATGTAAAATGTACTGTGCGTTTAACAAGCTTGCAGAATGCAGATGAAACTACGTTGATATAACAGAGACTCTTCGTTAACTTAGTAATTTACATTCTGATCCATTCCCTGACATTAGAGCAGCTAAGCCAATCAGGAAGTGATTTTGCAGCCTATCAGTAGCGTCTCAGCAGATTAGGAACTATAGCCAATCCCCCCCACCCCCTTCTGTTCAATCATGTCCAATTGTTGGAAATTGCTGGGATACATCCCTGCAGTTTTCTTGACAAGGTTTTTCAGAAGTGGTTTGCCATTGCCTCATTTGCAAGGCTAAGAAAGAGTGACTGGCCCAAAGTCACCCACTTGCTTTGTGATCAAAACAAACTAGAACTCACAATGTCCTGGATTGGAACTCCAGTCTCCCAGTTTCTAGACTGATGCCTTAAACACAACATCAAACTGGCTTTCAGATGATACTTGTTGATCATATATTAGTGGAATACAGGTGTAAGATTTTGAAGTACAGGAGGTAATTCTTGTTTAATGACCATTGATCAGTGAGTATTTCACCTTGCAACAATGCTGAATGAGTGATAGTCATGATCAAGCATTGAAGTTCAGTCCAGCACAGAGCCTAGGTTTATACTAGGTCAGTGATGGCGAACCTTTTTGTTGTGGTGTGTTGAAAGCACGTACCTTGTGCGTGCCAGCACCCACAATGTAATGCGCCCTGCACCCCTGCGCATGTGTGCATAATCTCTCACTTACCTGCACTGTGCATGCATGCTCCTCCCAGCTGATTTTTGGCCCATTTGAGGCCATTTTCGCCCTCCCAGGGGCTTGAGGGAAGCCTCTGCAGCCTTTGGAGGCGAAAAACAGGCCCATTTTGGCACTTCCAGTTTCAGCACTTCCGGTATTTCCGGAAGGCCCGTTTTTTGGCCTCCAAAGGCTGCAGAGGCTTCCCTCGAGCCCCCAGGAGGGCGAAAAAGGCCTCAAATGGGCTGAAAATCAGTTGGAAGGCATGTGCGTGCACAGTGCAGTTAAGTTTGGCTGGAGCTCGCATGCCCGCACAAATGGCTCTGCATGCCACTTGTGGCACGCATGCCATAGGTTCGCCATCACGGGTCTAGGCCTTCTTCTAAATTCATTATTTTCTTCTTCAGAATGCAATTGCACAGATACATGCATTTACAACTCTAGAACTTTAAAAATCATCTCAGACTCAATCTAGGACATTTTTAAATACAGTTGTATCAAAATACTAATTTAAAGCAGAGTCAATAGCATAGCTAATACTGTCCTTCAAAGCTAATGTAAACAGTATCTAACAATACTTTTAGACTTGTGGAAATATTTTGGTAAATCCAGTAATGGTTTTCACAAGACAAGAGTCCTTGGCTTCTAGCATAACCATGCATTTCTCTGTCTTTATCGGAGTATTAGGTTACCTAGAAAGGACTTCTACAAACCCTACCCTGGCCTTGATTTTCCACAATGAGACCCACTAACAAGCAAGAATCTTGCAATATCAAAACATTCACATTTACAAAAGCAAAAGCTTTTCTGGACAAGAGCCCAGATTGTTAGATGATTGAAGACTTTTTCTCAATGGGCAGATTGAATAACAACATTAACACCTTTCTCTTGTCTTAGGCCACTGGCCACATTTCCATTAACTTTTGACCGGAATGCCAAAACTAATCAAAGCTTGGCACTTCCTTCATTTCAATATGTAATAACAGAGGGGAACAGCTTTTAATGAATTCCCCCATACAGCAATGGAAGACTTTGTCCAGATTGCTTTCACAGTCACTTAGATGCAATTCTGTGTACCTTCACTACGTATGATTACTTAATGCAAAATCTATGTCCTTTATGTAATGCACCAACCACTAGCAGATTTCATGGAATATGGTCTTCTACAAGCCAAGTACACTGAACAAAACAATATTATTTACTACAATTGGTTTTGGCACACATTCCCAACCTAAGAGTCTCCAGATATGTTAGTGTACATTCTTATCTTCCCAGGCAAGTCCAGCCCACCCAAAATTTAAAAGCTAAATAATGGTCTGATATGTATACCATCAACCAACAACCATGTTCTGACATTTTGCACGAACTGTCTGTTCTCCTAGCAACCCAATTTAGGGAACAATAATGGGGAAATGATTTTAATATTTGTAATATTTGTAAATGTAAGGAGATAGTCAAAACTATCATAAATTGAGAACAAGCAAGGGAGAAAGTAGGGAGAAAGTATTGTGATATTTCAGCACACAGCACCAATTTATCATGCAGCCAGGAAGCCAATTAAAGGAGGTCAATCAGGAGGGTAACAAGTTTGGCATACTTCTGATTTCCTAACCAATCTCCAGATATAATAACAATCGTTTAAACTTATGGCTGTCCAACTCCCGATGACTTTGATCAGCTACAAATCTCAGATTCACAATTTCCAACCAACATAATCTCCAGTTGGTCAATAAGATTATCCATGTGGAGCCTGATTCTTTGCTTGCAGACATTTCATTATCCAACAATGTAAGATCATCAATGCTCACATTATCCAGCATATCTGGAGGATGCCAGGTTGATAGATACCCATTGCTCCCAAAAATGTTTACTCTCTCAAAAAAAAAAAAAAGGCTACCTCTAATCTTGCCTTATTCTAAACACACATAAACATGCAGTGGCTTGGTAAATTGTGTTCCCTTCTATGGTTCTTCCATGAAATTAGCGAAAACCCATCAAAAACCTCTTATTTCACCTTTCTATGCATTGCATAACCCTTTTTTTTGAAAGACTACAGTTTTTAGGCTCGGGCTTCTTGATAGTAGAATATTTCTTTCTCCAGGCATATTTTTTAAAAAATAAATAATAACTGGAGGCAACGAAGACCTACAATTGGGGGGAGAAGGTTCACACCTTACCACCAGGTCTACCTGGCCAAAAGGATATTTAAAAAAAACCAAAAACCCAGGCATCGCTTTCAAAAAAAACCTCAGGGAAGAGGGAGACGAAAAGCAAACCCAGGATTTGGAAGGGAATAAAGGGCTCTATGAAACTGTCCGGATTTCCCAAGGCCAACCGAGCCCCCGCTATACCGACAGACAAAGACCCCCCAAAGCCTTCAACCTGCCAGGGGAGATTCGCCGCGCTCCACGCCACGCGCGTTTGCTCCCTCGCCCTCCCTCCGCGCAGAAACCGCACCATCACGCACAACGGCTTCCTCGGCCAGAAACAAAATAAATAAATATAAATATAAATAAAAATAAAACGAACGCCTTACCCAGAAGATGACGTTGAAGCCGAAGATGAAATACTTGATGCAGCAGCTCACTTCGGGGCCTTTATAATGCTTTCCGGACATCCTCGGGGCTCATGAAGACAGTTTGCTGGCGAGCACCGTTGGCCGGGAGAGGCGGGGAGAAAGGCGAGAGGGCAGCGCGGTCGGGCGAGAGCGCAGGAGCCGGGCAGCGGGGAGGCAGATTAGAGGCAGCCGGCCGATGGCTGGCTTGCTGGCTCGGCTCTTCGCCGCCCGGAGCGCTCAGGCAGCGAACGAAACCCGCGTCGTGGCCGCCGCCGCCGCCTCCTGCCTCCGCGCATCGAGGAGGCCGAGCAGCGGGGGAGAGCGCGGACCTGCTGAGCCGCGGGAAGCGGCCGCCAGCGATGCCCTCAGGCGGAGACGTTGTGAGCGGGGAGGCTCGACCTCCCCCCCCCCTCAGGAGCCGCCAAGCGCTCGCCGCCCCTCTTGACACCCGCCGAGCCTCCTCCCACCCCGAGCGCCTCTCCTCCTCCTCGCCAGAAGCGCTCGCACGCCCAGCGGGGAAGGGAGAGGCCGGCGACTGGCTAGGCCCGCTTTAATGGAGACGCGTCCTCGCCAATCCGGCGCGGGACTGAGGTCCAGCTGGCGGCAGAGCAGCTGAATCTGGGGGTCTCTCCGCCCCGCGGTTGAACGAGATGGCGGCGGGAGGAGGGGGGGGGGAATGAGGCTGCTCGAAGCCCGGGGTTTGTGGAAGCGGGCCGAGCCGTCGCTTGCTTGAACGTGCTTGCGGTTTAAGCCAGGATTAGCTCGCCTCATTGGCACGCTGAGGCACCAACCAGGGTTTCCCAGTGACGAGAGAGACTCCGCTCCATGCGGGGCTTTCAAAGCGACGCGCGCAAGAGCCTCCCGGACGGCCGCGCTCTTCCTTTCCCAGCTTGAGTAACGTTACGCACGGCGCACAAAGGGAGCGAGAAACGGAATTATGAAAGGCGTGAAATGAGAACGCGTAACTAAAGAAGAGCCGGATCCTCCATGTATCTTCTCTACCGGCAGCGAAGGTCCTTGTTTTCAACGCGGCCCTATACGCCTCAGGCTTCAGTCCTTTTCATTTCTTAAGGATCTCATCGGTTCCATCTATTCCAGCCGGGTTGTCGTAGAGTACCTTTCCACCACCCTCTCAAATCACTTTAGACAGATTCGTTTTGTGATTTCAACATCATTCATTCATTCATCTCTGTAATCAAACCCCTTCGGCGTTCTGGTCACTCGCTTTTGTATTCAGTCCACATTTATGCAGCACCCATTCATTCCGGACTCGATTCTTCTTTTTTTTCTTTTTTTTAACGTGCAAATTTTGGAGAATCCCCTTCCTACAATGTTAGTGAGGCGTGTTTCTCCTGAAATCACTCCCGTGTTTTGCTCTTCTACACACCCAGTTTATTTTAAGAAATGCTCCTCCTTCTTCATAACATAGTATGAGGGAGATGGTCTGTTTTAAAGATGGGAAAATAGGGAAGTATGCAGTTTAATGACAATTTCATTAACCTGCATATTTCCCTAGTTTCCCATCTTTAGTTAACATAAGAATAGTTTAGCATGAAGTGCAAATCCAAATCGCCCTCGCCTGGACATTTTAATGTGGGCAAGAGAGCCAAATCAGCTCGGACTTGGAGAGTGGGGGAACCTTTGGAAAAATAAAAATTTGGGCTTTTAATGATGGGTTGTTCATCCTTTTCAAATATATTCTCAACAGAATAATTGGACAACATATCCAATTAAGATTACAATAGTGGTACTTGTATCTCAACTTGATTTAAGTTGTACTGACAAAGCTCTAAGTAAATCATGGTTTTTAGGGCATGTTGAGGCAGAAATAATCCTGGTTCAGGGAGATATGTCTTATTTGGTATACAAACCTTGTTCTTCACTAAATTATGGAGTACCTTTCTCAAATATCTAAAATACTTGTTTTGGCTCACTTATTTTTATGATAACCTTGAAAAGTAGACAAGTATTTTTATTTCTTTAATTTATATAGCTGCCCATCTCATGAGAAGTGACACTGGGCTATGTATGATAATATTATATAGTCCCTCTTGCAAATAAATTGCTGAAGTTTTGTTTAACTAGTATTAAAAGTATTTAAGTACTTTTACAGCTATCAGATTTAGACTGCAAAAAAAGTCCAGGAGACTATTAAGTGGCATTAAAGATATACAAAATGTATTTGCCTGTCTAAATAGTTATAACTGTGATCTTACAGCCTTTTTAATAAAGTATTATCATAATATTGTTACTGGTTTTGTTAATGTATAATATAATCAATCATCTTGAGTCAAAGAAATTACATGAGATGGTTGACTTAACCTTATGCCACCAGACTTGAAATTCTAGACCTAGAAAATCTAGAACTACGCCACCTTCGGTCCGATCTAAGTATAGTATATAAAATTATACATTGCAATGTCCTACCTGTCAATGAATACTTCAGCTTCAATCACAACAATACAAGAGCACACAATAGATACAAACTCAAGGTAAACGGCACCAAACTTGATTGCAGGAAATACGACTTCAGCAACAGAGTGGTCAGTGTCTGGAATACTCTACCTGACTCTGTGATTTCTTCCCCAAACCCCAAAAACTTTAACCTTAGATTGTCTACTATTGACCTCACCCCTTTCCTAAGAGGTCTGTAGGAGCCATGCATAAGCGCACCAAAGTGCCTACCGTCCCTGTCCTATTGTTTCTTTTTATTTTTCTTATATGTATCCATTTCATGTATTCATAACTATGTTTATACTTATACCTGTTATCTTATAATCGCTTGACAAAATAAATAAATAAAAATAAACAAACTATGCAAATAAAGAGGTTGTAGGGATTGTGTCTTTGCCTAAGACCTGCCAGGGATTGAATTCCTACATCACATTAAGTGATAATGAAGTTCATTAGTTTTTGATTTAGCATGTTGTGTGAATGCAATCACTGTGGCTTGTAAACCATGATTTAGCTAAGACTAAGCCAGAATTCTTTTTTATTATGCCACAATTAAATTGTGTGCAGTGTGAACATATTAATGGCTACATTTACATAAAACACAACTTCTACTTTAAACACAATTTTTTGAATCAACCATAATGGTCTGGTTTGTACATGAAAGCACTGTAGGCCATACCTCTTGATGGCTGAGTGTGATACTATCAGTTGAAATATGAACTGGAATCTTTTCACGCCTGTTTCTTTTAACTGTCTCAATTGTCACCAATGCGGCATTTTGAAATTGCACACTGAAGCACATATTGAAGCTATATTCATAAATTTAAGCCATGATTCAGTGAAAAAATCCCAGCCATTTGGACTTGTACATGCAGCTAAACTATATCCATGGTTTAAATCTACAAGGCTAGGTTCATGCAACATAAGAACCAAACTCAACAATCCATATCATACATTAGTGTGCCGCGTAAAAGCAGCCTGCAAGTCATACTACAAAATGAGTCATTTAAATGCAGCTAATCAGCATTTGCATTTTCGTTACTTCGCTGGTACAAATAGTCTCTGGTTTCTATTGCCTTGTAATGATCATAAGAAACCCTATAATCATAAACACTGCTGAAAATGACTAGTTTCAAAATAATTCTGCAATCCAAAACATGTTTACTTGAAAATAATTCCAGTTGAATTCAACTGATATAAGCAATAGAAGATGTGGTTTAACTTACATGAAAGATGCTAATGGACAGCTACTTAAAGATGCCTTTGATGTCCCTCACTGTGAATACCCGAAATTCCCACTTTGTTAGGCCCCCATTTATTGTTAGCTGACATATTCAATCCAGTCATTTCTTTCTACCAATATGTTGATGGGCGGGGCATGTAAGTGAAGCATGATACAATTATTAAATATAATGGACTAATGCAGTTTTTCTCTACCTGAGCAACTTTAAAATGTGTGGACTTTAACTCCCAGAATTCTGCAATAATTCTGGGAGTTGAAGTTCATACATCTTCCAGTTGCTAAGGTTGAGAAACCTAATGGGTGGAGTTTTGACTGCTATTGCAACCACCATCTTGACTTTTTTTTAATGCTCCTACTCTCCACCTTTCCTCATGAATATGCTGCAAAGGACTGCATTGGGAATAACTGCTGGACCTCTAGAAGTATTTTCAGGGTGTAAGACCCTTCTCCACAGACTTCATGAAGACAAAAATTAACATGTAAGAACCATATGCTCCACATGCGTATATGTGTTATTAAAGCATCAAGTATAAAAATGCCTTATGTTAACATTGGTGGATAAGAATTTCATGGATAACAAAACCCCATCTTGGGTATTCCTTAAGATCTCTCGGCCCAAACAGTAGGGTGCAAAGTCACAACAACACAATACTGCTATAATGCCATTATACTGTTGCTACCAGTACTAATAGTACTGTAATATACTACATTGCTAAATGTAGCATAGCACAGCTTTTACTGAATTCATTTGGCACAGAATAACAGAGTTTGAAGGGACCTTGAAGGCTTTCTAATCCAATCCCCTGCTTAGGCAGGGGAGCCTCTACCATTCTGGACAAATAGCTGTTCAATCTCTTCTTGAAAACCTCCAGTGATGGAGCACCCACAACTTCTGAAGGCAAGCCATTCATTCCATTGGTTTATTGTTATGTCAGGAAATTTCTCCTTAGGTTGCTTTTCTCCTTGATTAGTTTCCATTCACTGCTTCTTGCTCTGCCTACAGGGTGATTTGAAGAACAGAGTGGCCTTCTCTTCTTTGTGGCAGTCCCTCAGATATTGGAACACTGCTATCATGTCACCCCTAGTACTTCTTTTAATTAAACTAGACATACCCAGTTCCTGCAGCTGTTCTTCATATATTTTAGCCTTCAATCTTTGTTGCTCTTTTCTTTGCTCTTTCTAGAATTTCAACATCTTTTATATACCATGGCAACCAAAACTGGATGTAGTATTCCAAGAGTGGTCTTACCAAGGCATTATAAGTGGTGGTAATATCTCACGTGATCTTGATTCTTTCCCTTTATTAATGCAGCCTGGGACTGCATTGGCTTTTTTTTTTTTTTTTGACAGATGCAGCATTCCTGGCTCGTATTTAAATGATTGTCTACCAGAATGCAAGATCCTTGCAAGTTCCCTTGAGAATAGTCTGCAGGTTGCAGCTAGTGCTGTGTGCTTAGTAGAGTCCTTTCCAGAAGACAGATATTCAAATGTTCCACTTTGGTTGCCTGTTCACTAACAGGGCTGAGCAGTACTTCAGATTTCAGTTGGAAAAAGTGCAGACGTATGAATGCAACAGCTATGTGTAACCCACTGAAGCTGCCATATTATTTTCCAGGAACACACAGCTCCTGCAGGAAATATGTTTTGCTGATAAG